TGGGTGGGTGGGGTGGGTGTCAGGGTGGTGTTATTGATATTCTCTCCGGATTGAGATGAAACCCAAGGGAATTGGAGAGGGACTTGAAAAGGAAAAACATTGGCAGGGATAGGGAGTAAAAAAAAACGCGGGGGGGAGAGTGGGGGCCGGTTGGGGTAAACGCGGGGGAGTGGGGTTGATCAAGGCTTTGGGGGACGAGCGCGGGGGAGTGGGGTGGAGCTGGCACAGACACCAGGGGCCGAATGGCCTCCTTCCGCGCTGGATAATTGGACGGTTCCAAAGTTGGGGGTAAAAGAGAGAGAGAGATCGAGGCCTGAGATTGCCCCCTCCTCACCCCCCCCCCCAAAACACACACATTCTCACAATGTGCCTTAAACCACTCAACTGCCCTTCCTCACACCCACCCCCCCCACCACCCACCGCGCTCTCTTTCCCCCACCCCCCGACCCCCCCCCCCCACACACTCCGCCATTTTATCAATACAAGAAAAGAATCCATTGGATTCAAGATTGGGGTCCGTCGGTTGAGAGACGGGGGCGAGAGAGGGGGGGGGGGGGGGCGAGGAGTGCAAGATCTATTGCCCCCTCTTCTGAAGAAAAGAGGAAAGATTTACCCCCAAAATTCCCCCTCCCCTTTCCCCCCCCCCCCCCCCCGTTCCCCTCCTCGACCCATCCACCCTCTCGCCCCCAAAGGCAAAGCTTCCCTTTCCTTCGTCAAAGCTTGCTTTGCGTGTGCGTGTGCGTGTGCGTGAGCAAGCACGGCGCTTGTGCGAGGAAATTAACCGTGTGCTGAGTGTGAGCAGGCGTGTGAGCCTGTGTAGGTGTTACTAGGTTCATGGGTTGTGTAATAAAGACCAACTGAACGGATATTGTCTCTGTGTCTCTGTGGGTGTGTGTGTGTGTGTGTGTGTGTGTGTGTGTGTCTGTGTGTGTGTGTCTATGTGTGTGTGACGGTCTCTGTGTGTGTGTGTGTCGGTATGTGTGTATGTCTGTGTGTGTATGTCTGTATGTGTGTGTGTGTCTGTGTGTGTGTGTCTGTGTGTGTGTGTGTCGGTATGTGTGTATGTCTGTGTGTGTATGTCTGTATGTGTGTGTGTGTCTGTGTGTGTGTGTCTATGTGTGTGTGTGTCTGTGTTGTGTGTCTTTGTGTGTGTGTGTCTATGTGTGTGTGTCTGTGTGTGTGTCTGTATGTGTGTATGTCTGAGTGTGCGTGTGTGTGTGTCTGTATGTGTGTGTGTCTGTGTGTGTGTGTCTGTATGTGTGTGTGTGTCTGTGTGTGTGTGTCTGTCTGTGTGTGTGTGTCTGTGTGTGTGTGTGTCTGTGTGTGTGTGTCTGTATGTGTGTGTGTGTGTCTGTGTGTGTGTGTCTGTCTGGGTGTGTGTATCTGTGTGTGTGTGTGTGGGGAGGGGGGTGGGTGGGGAGTAAGGAAACTCGCCCAACATCTCTCCCTGAACTGCCCCCCACCCCCCGGGAATCGAACCCAGGTCCCCATGGCCTGCGAGGCGAGAGGCAGTCAGCCTTTAGAAGGGGGTGCGATGTCCTGGGGTGGGGGGGGGTGGTCTCCTGGCCGAAAAAGTGGGTGCAGAGACTCGAGCCGGGGGGGAAGAAAAGGGGACGTGAAGGGGATGAAGCTGATGCTTTCACTGAGGACAGAGGGAAGTCAGAGGGGGACAGTGAAGATAGGGCAAGGAGTGGGATTGGGGGGGAGGGGGGGGGAGAAATGGGGTCAGAGGAAGGCAAGGGGTGTGGGGGGGGGAGGAGGAGAAGGAGGGGTTCACGCTGGAGACCGGAGATATCTCACGAGAGCAGAGATCAGAGGAGCGCTGAGTTTCCCGATGGCGGGCGGGTCCGAGAGCGGGAATTGGGGGGGGAATTTAAGCCCGGAATCCGGACGGAATTAGGGGTTGTTTAAGACGGTTAGTGGGGGTGGGGGGGGAGGGGGGGGGAAGGGATCAGGGACCGGTCTGGCCTCGGGGCCTCGATCAGCTGTAACCCCTGAGACCCTGGAGTCAGGACCCACCTCACAGTGAGTCTGTGACCTCACAAAATAGGTTGGTGACTGCACAGAGGCCAGGCGGGGGGGCGGGGGCCGGAGGGGGCCCGGGTGGGAGGGGGTGAGGCGGTGGGGGGTTTAGAGCAAAGGGAGAGCGTTCAAACCCGACCGGGTGCGTCGATGGGTGGAGCCTGGAGCGCGGAGTCCTACCGGGCAGTGAGCGGAGAGCTGTGAGAGAGCGAGAGAGCGAGAGAGAAGGAGAGAAGGAGAGAGAGAGAGGAGAGAGAGAAGGAGAGAGAGAGAGAGAGAGAAGGAGAGAGAGGGTTTGGTAAAGGTCTGGAAGACGAGACTCGACGTGAGAAGAAGGAACCAAGCGAACAAAAGGAGACAATATCGTTGCACCATCCCCACGGAGAAAGGCTTGAGCTCACTCTTCAGACGTGGAAAATGGGGGGAAGGTGGTAAATATCCATTCCGCCCGCCCCCCACTCCCTCCCTCCCTCCCTCTCTCCCTCCCTCCATCCCTCCCTCTCTCCCTCCCTCCCCCAGAGGACACGAGGGCATCATCAATCCCTCAAGACAGGCTATTGATAGGCACCTCAGGTGTTGAAGATTACTTGTTGGATGGAGTGAAGCCAGAGGCACACCAAGTTCGGAGAGCGAGAGAGCGAGGGAGGGAGACATAGAGAGAGGGGGAGAGAGAGAGAGAGCGAGAGATAGAGTGTGTGAGAGAGAGAGAGAGAGAGAGAGAGAGAGATAGAGAGGTAGAGAATTAGCCTACAGGTATGCAATGCATTGAAATCGTCATTGTTTTGAAGATAAAAAGGTTCTCGACCGGTGAAGAGTTCCTCCCCCCCCCACCCCCCCCTCCAAACCCCACTCCCCCCAGAAAACTCGACTGATTCTTTGTTCGTCCCAACCCCAAAATGGGTTAAATAAACCCTAAACCGAAGCATAAATTGGAGCGTTAGAAACCGTGTTCTCGATCGAACTGCTTTGAGTTGGGAACGAAGGAAAGGTAGAGAGAGGGTCGGGTTGGGAACGGGGTGGGGAGAGGGTGGGGGTGACGTGAGAGGGTGGGGGTGATAAGCGAGAGAGAGAGAGGAAAAGAGAGAGAGAAAAAGAGAGGCAGAGGGCAATCGCAACGAGATTTAAGCCAATACAAAGACACGTGAAGAGTGAGGATTAGCGTGAAGATCGAAGAGTCAGTAGTGAGGAGCCAAGTGACGACTGAAGAGTGACCGGGGCAGAGAGAGGAGGAGAGTGAAGGGTTCGGAGCGAAATTGGTCGCGTAGATTTGAGACCCATAATCGGGCCTCGGAAATCTAGATTGCGGTGCGTGGCCAGACTGGAGAGAGCGCGAGAGCAAGAGAGGGAGAGAGCGAAAGAGAGAGAGAGAAGAGGTTGAGAGACGTTGAGCCTTAGAGAGAAATTGGCTTTGTATTCCAGCGAGTGAGGGAGGAACATGGAATCATGCAAGGTAGAGGCATCTCTGGTTGCCTTGACCGACGCAGCCTTTGACAAGGATGAAGGCGTCCGCTGGCAAATTAAGCTGTCCCTCCATGACCTGGGCTGCCACAACCCTGAGCTGGTGCTGAGGACCTGCCTGGAGTTCCTGGTCAAACACAAGCAGTTGGTGCAAGGCCACAGGATGGCCATAATCAGCAGCATGGAAGCCATCGTGAGGGACACCGTCAAGCAACTCAGCCAGACTCTGGGCAAGAACATCATCTCCATGGCTTCGGACGAGATGACCAAGTCCAGCGAGGGAGCGGAGGTCGACAAGCTCAAGGAGGAGGCCAGCAACCTGCTCGTGGCTGTGGGCTGCAGGTTCAGCGACGAGGTGCTGGCGGAGATACAGCAGAAGCTTCAGCCTGGACACCTCCCCCAGTTCCACGAGGTTCAGACTCTCGGGAAGCTCTCGGTGGCCAACGTTTACGGAGTGGTCCCTCACCTGCCTGGCATCCTGCAGACTATGACGCCGATGCTCAGCATGGCGAGGCAGGACCACATGAAGATGGCGTTCACCTCAGTCCTGGGCCTCTTTGCCCAGAGCATCCTCGAGTATCTGGAGCACTCAGACAGGGCTCCTAACCCCGTTCTGAAGAAGTCCTTGTTCTCCCAGGAGATGTACGCTTGTTACAAAATCCTCTTCTCCGGCTGGCTCAGGAACAAAGATAACAAGCTGAGATCCGCCATCGTAGTGTCTCTGAGCTACATGGTCCATCTGATACCTGATGAGAAACTCGAGGACGAGTTGCCCAAACTTATCTCGGGGATCCTAACCCTGTACAAGAAGAGATGTGAGCCTTTCTATGTCACGCGGTGCATCTGGCACATCCTGGACACTGGGGTTCATATGACCAGCCAAGTGTTGGATTCACAGATAGACAATCTTCTCCCACCGCTCCACCACCAGATCTGCTCCTCGTTGGACCCCAATAACGAGCTGACGTTGAAGAACCACAGCGAGATCCTCCAGTGCTTCACCATTCTGGCCCAGGTGTCAATTGACAGCCTGGTCAAGTTCCTGCTGCAGAAACTGTCCAACAATAACGAGCGAGTGCGAATTGGGACCCTGGTGTCCCTCAATCACATTGTGGGCTCCGGCTTCAAGCATCTGGAAAGCAAGAAGCCTCTTATCGTGGCCGCCATGAAGCTGGCCCTGCTAGACAACGACAACAAGGTCAAGAAGTTAATCGCTCAAGTCATCAACACGATGGGAGCCCAGGGCTACTTAGAGCTGGAGGGTGGCTTGGCCTTGGTGGAGTTTCTCGTCAACCAGTGCTCCCTGTACAAAAACCGATGGCTGGCGAAATCTCATCACACGGAACCCAATGAGGTGATGGACGAGGACCTGAGCAGGATTTGCGAGGACATCTTGATCTCCCTCACCACCCTGACCAAGATGGAAGACGTCCTCTGGCCTTTCCTGCTGGAGTTCATCACTCCCTTGCAGTACACCAATGCCTTGGCCGTGGTCTGCACCAGCCTGGAGCAGGTGGGAGCCAGAAAGTTGGAGCTGGGACCGGAGAGGATGATGTTGAACTACAATGAAAGGTTGGGGCTCCCCAAGCCTCACACTCTGCTGGCCCGACTCCTGGCCATAGCCTCATCTCCATTCCAGGGGAAAGACAGAGGCATTCCTGCCCTCAAGCTCCTGAGGATCATGAGCTACAACATCCATCCGTTGATCGTGAAGCTGTGGAATGATGAGCTGCCGGGATTGATCCAGTACCTGATGGACAACACAGAGGAATCGTTGCCCCAAAAGTTGTGGGAGGACAAGCTGTTCCTCTTCCTGTCCCGGACGCTGGAGTGCATCACAGACGAGAAGTGGACTTGGCAGCTGAGCGAGGAGACTATCAAACACTTGTGCAACTATTACAGTTACCCCAAGGAGAAGGCCTTTCTCTACAAGTGTGTGGGCATTGTCCTGGGCCAAACCCAAAACAAGGAGGTCATCAACAACGAGCTGCAAGAGATGCTGCTGAGCGTCCAACATAACGAATCCTTGGAGAGAGAAGGTCTGGCCACGGGCATCGGTTTCTGTGCTATGACCCACCTGGATGACACCCTGGTCAAGCTGGATGACTTTGTAAGGATGGACATTGTGAAGAAGACAGCCAGTTTCTTCAACATCCTGAAGGAAAAGTTGGACGGGGACATGGAGAGGGTGAAGAGCACCCTGATCCTGTGCTATGGTTACGTAGCCCTTTACGCGCCTGAGAGCGTGATCCTGAGCAGGATAGAGGGAGACATCTTGGAGCACATCCTCAACCTGTCCAACACCAAGGTGCTAGGTATCAAGATCGAGAGCAAGGACCTCATGATCAAGCTGACGTTGATCAAGGCTGTCACTCTGGTCGCGAAGGCCATCTACGCAAACAAGGGGAAGAGCGACTTCACGTTCAACAAGAAGGACGAGCTGTTGTCCTACATGCAGGACTTCATCGTATCCGAGCCCAAGGGTTACCTGAAGAGCCGTGTGCGTCAGTCGTCCATCAACGCCTGCATGCACCTGGTCAAGCTCGAGCCTCTGCTCGACGAGGCCGGAGCCTCCGAGCTGATCAAGACCTGCCTCGAAAGTGTGTTCAGCTTCCTGCCGGTGGACAGCGAGAAGAGGAAGGAGAGCAAGAAGCTGAAGGAGCGAGAGGCCCTCTACAACGAGACCACGGGAGCGTTGCAGGACTTGCTGAAGGAGCTCCTCCTACAGAACCTCTCCTCCGACGGCCTCGAGTTCATCTTCAAGGCGCTGGAGGAGTGGGTCACGTCCAACAAGGACCACGAGAGGGAACGGGCGATGGAGACGGTCCACAAGCTCCTGATCTTCTACAGGGAGAAGTTCAAGATTACCCGCGTGACGGTCTTCCACAACCTGGGCAGTCTGATCGGGCGGCTGGTCCCCCGCTGCGCTGACCCTCTGCTCAACGTCCGCCAGTTAACCATGGACAGCCTCCAGACCCTGTTGTACATCCAGCTGCGTTACGAGGGCTGCATCCTCAACCAACGCGATGACCTGGTGGAGCACCTCAAAGGCATAAGGAGCCAACTGGAAAACCCCGACAGTCAAATCCTCTTCCAGATCTGCTACGACATCGCCAAGGTGGTCTCCACCAAACTGCCCCAAGACCAGCTCAGCCCTCTGCTGTTTACGCTGTTCGAAGGCCTCTCCGACTATCACTCCACCTGCTCCAGTGCAGCCTCCGTGGTCATGAACACCCTCATCCGCAGGCACAAGAGCGGCCTTGGAGATCACATCCAGGAGATACTCCAACGATTGCGGGTGAGGATGCAGTCCATCACCCTGGAGCAGGTCAAGTTCTCGGTCGTCCACTTCATCTCGATCCTGACGTCGCAGTGCATGCCGGCTGTCATCTCCTGCCTGCTCCTCAGCCCCCTGCCCTACGACACATACACCAACGATATCTGGCAATCTCTGGCCAGGGAGGTCACCTTGGCTTCCACCACGATGGAACATCTGATCGACAAGCTCAACGATTACATGTGTCACGATGAGACCAAGGAACACGCGGTGATCAACGATAAAGCCATGAGCCCTGGGGTTCAGGAACCGATGGCCATCGTCTTTGCCCTCAACGCCATGATCTCCAACCCAGACTCCGAGGATGCGGTGTCCAGCCTCTACCCCCAACTCTTCAGCACGTTGCTGCTCAATCTGAGCTTCATCGTCAACGAGAGAACCAGCAGCGACTTCCACGGCAAAGGCTCGCCCCGGAAGAAGAGAGCCGCGGCCCACGGTCAAGGCCCGGCCGCCATAGACATCTGCCGGTGCTCGGCGGACACCCTCAGGACGATGCTGGCCCGAGGCAAGAGCGAGAGGGTGGCGGGCTTTGTGGAGGAGGAGGGTGGCTGGGACACCTTGAGGAGCTTGGAGAAGCACCAGCAGGGAATCGCCATCCTCTCCAAGGCCATGGGTCAGCACGGCACTGGCCACCTGAACAACATCGTGCAGATTTTGGAGCCCATCTTGCTGAGCATCCACGAGAGCCAGAGGATGACCGTGGCCACTTTCTTTGGGGAGCTTCTGAACTCTTCTGTCGTGAACGAGCTGCAGTTGACCGACCCGCTGATCGTCAGCCTTCTCAAGAGCCTGCACGACAAGTCACCCAACGTCCACTGGCTGTCCCTCAGGGGCTTGGGAAACGTGGCCAACGGGGCCCCTCAGAAGGTGCAGAAGTACTCGGAGAGGCTCCTGGAGGCCATGATCGAGGGCATGACCAACAGGACCGAGCGCAGCGACCTGATCGTGCTGGAGGCCATGTCTGGCTTGTCCAAGGTCCTGTTGAGGCTGGAGGAGAGCGATGTGAGGCCCACCCTGGAGAACATCATCGTGGCCGTCAGGTCGTACTTTGAGAGCGAGGTGGACAGGATCCGGGCGGGGGCCTTCACCGTGTTCGGGAACCTGTCGCGCTTCGCGGAGGGCGAGTCGAGGGCGGTCTTCATGGAGCACGTCCACTCGGGCATGGTCAGTTTGCTGCTGCACCTGAACGACAGCAGCCCGGAGGTGGTCAAGGCTTGCAAGGCCACCCTCCACCTGATGGGACCTCTCATGTGCTCGGACAGCATGTGCACCATATTCCAGGCCGAGCTCCTGGAGCAGGCCAATGCTCACTATTGGGAGTTCATCAACGAGTTGGCCAAGTTGATCGCCTGTGAGTTCCCCGACAAACTGAGCCTATACCTGACCAACAGCACCTCGTTCTTCAAGAGCATGCTGCCCGAGGTCAGGGGCAACGCCGTCATCATGGCCGGGTTCCTCCTGCAGAACCTGCCCGAGATGTACGTGCAGCCCAGCACCGACGAGAACGTGTGCGTGGCCATCATCATGATGCTCCATGACGTGGCTCCCAGTGTCCGCATAAAAGCCGCCAAGGTCCTCGGTCTCCACCGGGGCTTCTGAGGGAAGGGGTGGACCTCTTGCCCACCCACACGCCCACCCACCCACCCATGCACCCCCACAACCCCCCGCCCCACCCCCACCACCCAACTGAGATTGAGGACACCAAATTCTTGAGACCGCCAAGGTTTGGAGAATTCTCTTGTTCCCCCCCAAATCCTCCCTCCCCCCCCCCCAACCCCCACTCTCCCCAACAACCAGTTCCTTTCCTCGCTTGGCCCATTTGACGGGAGCTCTCAACAACAACAACAAATTCCTCTTGTGTTGCCCCGCACCCTCGACTTCGCATCGGAAAGACATCCCAGGAAGGCAATGGGTCACGAGTTGGGGTTGGAGAGGGCGTAAGCCCCTGAGGGGAGGGGGAGAAGGGGTGAAGCTGTCAACCAGAACAGGGAGACACAGGGAGGACCATGGGATCCAATAGTGAAGAGCAATGATGAAATGTGTCTGAACCCCCCCAACTTATGGGGGTGGGAGAGAGAAAGAGGGGTGTGGTGGGGGGAGGGAGTGGGGTGGGAGGGGGGGGTCAGAGAAAAGGTAGCAGATAGCCTGTTGCCCTCTCCCCGGGTAGAGTTAATAAAAACACTAAAACACGAGTGTTATTCCCAGTTTATTTCGGGGTTCGAAAGGTTTTATTCCCGACGCACAGGCAGCGAAGATTTTGTTTCTGGGTTTCGGTCTCTCTCTCTCTCTCGCCTCCGAGTCGGGAGTTTGTGGGTTCGAGCCCCAACCCCCCCCCCACCCACCCCACCCCACCGAACCCCCAAACCCCAACCCCCCTGCATACACGTTGGGGTCCTTGAGCTCACAGTCTTGGCTGGCACTCCAGCTCAGCGCTGGGGGGTGGGGAGCGGGTGGGGGGGGGGGCGGAGGGGGAAAGAGAAGGGGATTTCTCCCCCTCCCCTCGCGCTCTCTCTGCCCCCCCACCACCCCCCACCACCCCTCCCACTCTCTCTCTCCTGGCTGACAAGCCCCCGCCCCCTCCCCCAGATAAAATCTCTTTCTCGCTCCCCGGCTGTTTGTGGGGATGTCGCTGGGCGCAAATGAGCTGCCGCGTTAAACACAGTCACTACACTTTACAGTGAGATCCTGTGGAAGCGCTTTGAGACGTCCTCCTGACATGGAAGACGTTGTGTTGGACGTAAGGATTATTATTAATAATAATCATGACGTTGGGGGCTGGGAGTTGGGACGGTTGGGGTTGGGGGGTTGGGTGTTGGGGGGGTTGGTGGCTGGGGGGTTTGGGAGGTTGGGTGGGGTTTGGGGGCTGGGGGAGTTGGGAGACTGGGGGCTGAGGTTGTTGGGTTTTGGGGGACTGGGGGTTGGGGGCTGGGGGGGGTTGGGGTTTGGGCTGGGGTTTGAGGAGACTGGGGGTTGGGCGCTATGGTTTGGGGGGTTGGGCGTGTTGGGAGGGTTGGGTGTTGGGGCTGGGGGTTGTGGGGGTTTGGGGTTGGGGCTGGGGGTTGGGGGGTTGGGGGTTGAGGGGATTGGGGTTGGGGTTTGGGGGGTTGGGGGCTGGGGGAGTTGGGGCTGGGGGGGTTGGGGGCTGGGGGTTGGGGGGTTGGGGGGTTGGGGGGTTGGGGGGATTGGGGGTTGGGGGGGTTGTCGGTTGGGTTTGGGGGTTTGGGGGGGTTTGGGGGTTGTGTCGGACGTAGTGATTATTATTAACAACAATAAGGGATGTCAATCAGTGGTTTGCGAATGCAGTAAAACAGTCTCCAGAGATGTGGTCGGATACAGTGAAGGGTCTCTCTCTCTCTCTCTCACACGCCTCCCCCCACCATCCCGTGTCCATGACGGGTGCCCAGACACACGTATGATAAGCCTCCGCTGTGCGTGTTTAAGCCGTGTGGATAAGCGGGTGAGGGGAGGGGCCGTTCAAGCAAATTCAATAACCATCAATATTTTCGCAATAAGTTAAAAGCAATATCAATACACACACATTTATATATATATATGGGGGGGACCTTATGCCTCGGATGTCACCCACCCTCTTCAATGGGGGGTTTGGGAGGGGGAAATGGGGT